ATTTATTATTTTTTTAATAATTTTTTTTCTTTAGTAACGAATTATTACATTTATTTTATGTACTGAATAAAAAAATTTTATTTTTGTATGCAAAATATGGCATAATTATACCCTGAACAGGGTATATTAAGTTTGTCACAAAGTTTGTAACTTATTTTCTCTTGAACAAGCTGTTCATTTGTCGGAACTGCCATTATCGGACCACTATAATTATATGTTATATAGTTGCCATACATACTGAACGATCGGAATTAAGTTCTTATATGGAAAACTTTCACATTTAACAAGACTTATTCACGAAATTCGGTATAGATTATTTTCTAAGGCGACCATGTAATCTCCGAAGAAATTGTTAAGATCGGTTAACTATAGCGTATAGCTGTCATACAAACTGAACTATCGGAATCAAAGGCTTGTATGGGAAACTTTCGCATTTGACGTGGCATCTTCACGAAATTTGGAATGGATTACTGCTTAAGGTAGTAATATAATATCCGAAAAAAATTGTTCAGATCGGCTTACTAGAGCATATAGCTTCCATACAAACTGGGCACATAGTTACTGAAAGAAATGCACCTGTGAAGGGTATATTAGCTTCGGTGCTGTCGAAGTTAACGCTTTTTCTTGTTTTAATAACAAATATATTTTATATTTAGTTACATATATTTTTTCAGTTATACTTGTATAATATATGTTTCAAAAAAGAAAATAAATTTTTTTAACTAATATTTTCAGTATATTTTTTATTATAGCAACAATTTCTTTTTTTTAACCTTTTTTAGTAATAAGTATAAATTTTGTTATGCTTTAATTTTCTTCATTATGTTTTTAATACAATTCTTTAATAAGCAAAGGATAAAAATATCATTATTTTAATTTTGTATTGTTTATTTTTATTTAAATACATTAAGATAATTCAATTAAAACATTTTTTACTTATATATTTATTTTGTTCCAGTGTTATTATTTTTTTCTGTTTTCGATATTTTTTTACTATTTATTTATATATTTCTACGTTATTGTTTTCTTTGATTTTTAACTTTTAGCCATTTTAGAATTAATTTTAGTAATTTTATATTTTTATTATTTTATATAAATAACTATATTTTATTACATATTCCAAATAGATAATAATAATGGTATTTTTTTCATTATTACTTTTATTATTTCATATGGTTTATTTTATTTTATTTTTCTTTCATTTTACTCGTAGAATCTTCTTTCATATTTCAATTACGTTTCAATAAATTGCACTTGTTTAATTTGATTTTTCATTTAAGTAAATGCTACTTTCCGGCAAGTTTAAAAATTTCAAGAATATTTTCTTCAATTTTTACGACCGTTATACATAATAATTCTTATTTCTTCATTAATTCACATTAATATTCACGTCCGCAATGCGACTGCCCTTATTAGTTTAATTATTCAGTTGGTTGCATTCTGTTTTTCTTTCTAATTTCCTTTTAATTATGGCATTTAATATACGTGTCACACTAAACAACGATCACCACACACTGTTCAACAGCAATAACAACAACAATTCTTTGCATAATATAATAAATCCATAAGCGATTTCGTCTCAATGTTATAGAGTTTTATCGTTTAGTTGTAAGTAATTACATTTTCAGTCTGCTATCCATGCACAGCTCTATTTCAAAACGCGCGCCTACAAAACTTTTTATGCGCGACAATTATCTCAGCTTTTTTGTGCCTAATTCGTTTCACAACTCGTCGTAAATACGCAGCACGGCTAAAGTTCCCGTCAGGCTTCTGTCGGCACCTAAGGGTTCCAAAATTATATGCACATATGTGCGTGTGTGTTCACATCGACAAAACAACAACTTAACTGCTTCGACGCTCGGTAGCAACTGAACGCTTTTAGCGCCAGAAACGTTCGCACAACAGTTCGTCAGCCCGATCCGCCCCGCCCCTCTAACGCATTTAGCCTGGTGTGGTATAGTATAAATTGAGCAGTATTTAGCATTGATAACGCATGGTCATTATCAATTTTTCACTACCAAAATAAAAACAAGTGTAAGGTGGCAATGTTATCAGTTCGCGGTGGGTGTGTGTGCTGTCTCTTATACACATCTAGATGTGTATAAGAGACAGGTGTGGTATAGTATAAATTGAGCAGTATTTAGCATTGATAACGCATGGTCATTATCAATTTTTCACTACCAAAATAAAAACAAGTGTAAGGTGGCAATGTTATCAGTTCGCGGTGGGTGTGTGTGTGTTGCGTTTACCTGAATTTACGTTCAGCGTTCACACCCCTACGTGCCGCTGGTTTTAGCTAACTAGTCTTGAAGGGCTTGTGCCAACTCATTCATTTTATATAAAAAAAAGATATAAAAAACAAAATAAATAAATAAAAAATTTAAAAAGTTAGTATTGACCAAATGCATTTCAAAACACATTAACGGCATTATTATTCTAAAAATATTAATTCTGGATATCAAAGCGGCAAAATGTGCGATTCGCATTACTTATCGAGAGAGTGCGTGCAGCGAGGTCTTAAAATAAATACCTAACACTTCAGAACGTAAACGCGCGCCGCGATCCGCGAAAAAGCGTGAGATTACTTAATATTTACACACATGCATATGTAGCTACGTCTGCCAATCGAATATATGACTAAATGAAAACAAACACCGGCTGACAACCTTTCATATGAAATATATACAGTGTAAATCGCAAAAATACGGACAATTAAGTTAAATAAAGATAAAAATCACAAAAAAATACACTTTCATACTGGCAAATATTATGTCAGCGGGTTGTTGAACTAAAGCCTCTATTTCTAAAAAAAATTTTCCAGAAAAAAAGAAAAAAAAATTTAATTATACTTAGGAGATTCATAGCATAGTCTTTTTACGTGACATAGCTTCGCTCTATGGGCTCTTGAAAAGTTCCAAGAATATTCGACGTCATAGGCTCTATAGGTATGAAAATAAGCAAAATTGAGGCATTTCGCCCCAATGCCTCAATTTTGCAACCTGAAGAGATTCACGAGCTGCCATTTCATGGTGGATTGATTATGCCGATGAGAATCTAACCGTTATCATGCCATAATAACCTACTATTTGATGCCTGGAATTAGAGTTCACGATCTCGACGTCATTTGATTTCAACAAGACGGCGCCACTGCCTTCACCTTGTTTCAATCAATGGATTTATTTACAAAACACTTCGGCGATTGGCCACCAAGGTCGTGGATATCACACCGTTAGACTTTTTGTTGTGCGGACAAAGGCACTTCGATTTAGGTCTTGGAGCACAACCCCCCGTGTTTCATACGAAAAGTAGTCAAGGAAGGGATCATCTGAGCCGTAACCGCGGCCATAGAAAAATTAATTATTTAAAATAAATAATCTTTAAAAAATAAATTCCAAAGAATGTTCCTTCGAATGATAATAAACATTACTCCTTGAATTTAAAGTGCCTGTGTTTTTTCTTTAAAAAATAGGGAGCCTCGTGCATCACACTTTATTAAAATAATCGAATTAAACTTAATGAAACTAACTCAATTTTCGATTGTTTTATTGCTTTATGTTGGTAGTCAAATCCCTTACTTATGCTGACAGGTGAGCCAATTTGAACATTTGTTAATTTTTGAAACTGTTTTGCTTGGATGGGGGCTTCGGCTCGTCTTAGATTTTTGCCTATTCCAAAAAAGTGATCAAAGAATCTGCAAACAATTGTATGGGTTCCGAATATAGAATTTGGTATATGGTGAAGCTTCCTTGAACAAAAGTACTGTTTTTCGGTGGTACAAAATATTCGCAGAAGGTCGAGAAGGTGAGAAAGACGAAGGCCATGTTGGACCCCCTACCACTTCAAGAAATGAGAGCAGCTGATGAGGAACTAAACATATCGATTTTAACCAATGATTTTTGAATAAGTCGGGTCGCCGCGAAATTTCTGCCGAAATTGCTCACTTTCGACAAACAAAACGGCACGTTGACATTGCTCAGGAGATTTTCGACTCAATCCGCGACAACCCAGATCTGCGAATTATGAGTTTCCGGTTATGACGAAAAAAGGGCATCAATGAAAATGAATTTACAATTTGAGTTACACGAGTAGTTTAAACTCGATAAACAAAAATACATAATAGGTGTATAGAAAGAAAGCTGGATCTTTATAATCGTTGGATCGTACAAAATATATCACATCTTTGTAAAAAATTTATAATATTGGTGGGGCATAAAAAGCCTGGTGCCTTTGCCAATCAGGCTGTATGTATATATCAGCTGAGCGCCAAAACATGTACGAATTTTTATGGCACCGACAGCATGAGCGTCAAAACACGTATTTAAGATTGTTGTTTATAAATAAATATACATTATAAGAAAATAATATGCTTTGAGCAAAAGACTTTGGGTAAAAACAAAATATATAGTATATGAGCAGTTCATTCCCAACGGTTCAAAGAAGTTTGTAAATATTAGTTTTCGAAAGTTATATTTGATATACATACATATGTTTTTTTATTTTTAATTGGAAACTTGCGTTTAAAAACTTCAAAACTATCAACTCAATGGAAATTAACAATCCACATGCCAATGTCGAGATAAACTAACCTAGCATTATAGTACTTCATTTTTGTATTTCAACTATTATCGCTATATAACTTTGTGTTCAATTTGAATGAAATTTGTAATTACTCGATAAACAAATTCACTAATTCAATAAACAAGTTGGCACTTTGCCCTTTATCGCACTGGCTATCAGTAAATTGAGATATTACGTCTTTAAACACAATAGCACTTTGCCCCCATCGCCACCCGGAGATACTTTGATCCCTACTAAATGCGCGATCGACAATTGCAAAGGCCGGATCGAAAGCGTTTGCATTGCGCTTTGTCACTTGTTAATCAAATAAAAGATAGGAATTCAAAGTTTTTTATATGGCTGTAATTATCATAAAGATTAACTGTTTGTTACTGTACATTTTCCTTTGTGATAAATTAAACCGTTATTAGTTATGACGGGTTTTATTTCCTTAGTCGGCAATGACTTTGTACTTAGCACAGCAAAAATTTACCGGCCACCGATGAAGGATTATAAAACGGTAAAATACACAATTTTACATATACATTACTGTTCATAAAAATAGCATAAAAATGTGCAGTAGTATCAAATCTTTGGTTATACTAATTTCTTCATATGACAGCTATTCGCATAATCTCTGAGAGTGACGAATCAAACAAATAACTTATGTAAACTCAATATAGATAAAAAGAGCTCTGGGTCAACCACAGTTAAAATAGAAAGTCGATCGCATTACTTTAGAGTGTAGCAGACAAGAGAGCAGAAATGAAACAAATGAGTAGAAAAGTGGTGAATCAAAAGCAGCAAAAAAACGGCGGCATATCCCACTAAATACAAGATTTCTAAGAGCAAAATACAGAATTACAGGGTACAGGTTACTGACTAGAGTTAAAGAAAAGTATTGAACCCATCGTTACAATCTTTAAAAACTTTCAAAATATACTCCTTTTCCGCCAGCGAGATTTCCAAGCATTGCAGGCGTCACGGAAGGCATTCTTGAGAGCCGAGGTGCATGCTGCTTGGATCCTTCTGTCGTCAAAAACAAAAACAAAAACAAAAACCGGGGGCCATCTGTGCGTAGGGCGGATAGGTAGCTGTTCACAAGAAAGGGTGTGAGCCGGGGCGTTGTCGTGGCGCAACTTCCAATCGGCTGCTTTGTCTTGTCGGACCCGATTGACCCCTCATTTCAGTCTCTTGAGGACTTCCGCGAATAACTTGGCGTTGGCGGTTTGTCCGGCAGGAACAAATTCACGATTGACGATGCCTTTGATGTCAAAAAAGACAATGAGCATCGCATTCACTTTGGGTTTGCTCATCCTTCCGGTCTTCACCAGCGAACTCTTCCCCACCCTCCAAAAAAGCCTGGTACCACCAAAACACACCAACTTTTTTGCTAAAGCTGGATCAAATGTCTCTGTCGCAGATTTACCAAGTTTCACACATAATTTAATCGCATACCTGTGCTCTAGCGAACCTGAACCTACTGGTGCTCGGAGACAACTGACCAGCCGCTCGTTCATTAGCTTGGAACCATCCAGTCGATGCGCGCTCGCTCTGGTGTACAGTCGCGGTGGAAGAAAGTCAGTCGTAATACTTTTCGGACAAACTCTGTATCCCAAAACCAAACTAAAACTGTTGAATCCGCTAGGTACCGAATCTGACGATCAGTATGATATCAATGACGGTCAATATGTGAGATATATAATAGACATATATGATTATATATTAATTTATGGAAATTCCTTCTCTGAAAATGGTATGTCTGCAAGTCTAAAATGGGTTGAATCGGACCCTTAGCTCCCATATACCTAATAGACAGATTTTCTAACTTTCCGGTGACTTTTTACCACATATGTCGACCAATATGTGAGTTATCTTAATGAAAATTAAAGAGCGTGTTTACTTATAGCAGTGTAAGTAGATAAAATAGATAAATTTGTGCGGGCCTAGCCCCTAAATAACTAATATTAGGAGTTTCGAACGTACTTCTATGTATATGATTGATCTTTTAGAATGTGGCAAGAGTATAAAATGAACCAAACGTAGAACTTCCCAAATTGTTTTTTTCTTTAATTTTTGTGTTTACTGCTACTTTTCTAAGCACAACTATATAGAAATATATGTGTGCTATAGGAATATACATATTTATGGTATATTTGTGTTAACACAACAACTCAGCAAAGGCCAAAGTGGGTGTGTCGTATTTTGAACCACTTGTTTAAAAAGTGAAATAGAAATTCGGCGATAAAATAAACTTAACACATATGTTTAACAAAAAACAGAATAACAACAAATAGCGTCTAAGAGTAGCCAAAAAAAAAATGCTGAAAACTGGCAAAAGATCGCCTGGTCGTATTCATATTAAAACAACAGCCACATACATACATACTTATAAAATATAAATATGAGCAAGTGTACACATGTGTTACGATTATAATTATTTATTTATTTTCAATTATGACATTTAATTTCTTTTATTGCCACTTAAAGATTAGGTTAAGTATCAATTTAATTGTCATGGACAACAACGGAGAAGCATTTTTATTGCAAATATATATGGATATTAAAGCGGAACGATTTTTTTATCATAAAATTCTGTATACTTGAAACGTTCTACGGATAACTCGGAAAAAATTCGCCTTAGAGACTATAGGTCTAAAAGCGCTTTCGAGTCAGAGATTTCTAAGACAAATTTTAAAAAATATTAATAACCGGTTGTATGGTAGATGTAAGATAACCAAAATGCAATTACATATTACATTTCATTGGGATATCTCAGCAACTGATTATACAAATTGTATAATTCCAAAAGTTCGTACATATATCTTATAAGCAATATTATTAATGTTCTTATACAATATGTGGCACGGCTAAGAAAATTGAATAGTTAAGTTAATCAAGCTTGACTTACCAAATATGCCCACACTATGTGCGATCCTTTCCCATGGAAATTGATCTGTAAGAAATTTTTAATTAAATTTAAATTTATTTCGTTGAAAGATTTGTAATAAATTTGAATTAAATTAGTCAGATGAGTTCTACGAATCTATTAAATGAATTCCTTGGAAGAATTTTACTGGGAGATAGTTTTCAGACACGCTGCCAAAGTTTTGAGAATTCGTTTGCATTTTATCTTCAACTCATTGTCAAAATTCCAGCCTAATTGATATTTAAACAAATCAGAAAAAAACAAGGACTATGTTCTTGTATAACCGACGTTTTTAACTTCTCGCAAATTAGGAATTCTTAGAACGGATTTATAATGATAGGGATACTATTGTCACGATTTTATCTATTTTACTCATTTTTGAGAATTTTATTTTATTAATATGTCATAGCTTTATATTAGGAATATGAGTATGGAAGTATTGAGCTTTTATATATTTTTTGACAGGCAGATATACTATTTTCAAAGAAGATTCTCTCTGTATGATTAATATATCTCACACATTGACGGATTTTTCCATCAGTAAAAAATAAGCCATAGACATTAAAGTCCACCTTTTCGATATATGGGGCCATGCACATTTACATTTTGATTTGACAATTTGAGATGGAAGGTATGCCACTAAGCACAATTTTTGCAAAGTTTTATCCTGATAATATACATATACATATATCCCAATATTAAACTATATGGAATTGTGTTATAGTTCTATTTGACAATTTTTCACACTGTAATTAAAGAATGTCATCAAACAAACAATCGTCGCATTCGCTACTTGGATTCCACGTCACTGTTGACAGTCATAACTTCGAAGTCGTAGTTAAATTCATCATTTAAGTCATAGACACTCATTATTCCCGTCCTGCTATATCTGCAGAAGCATAAACGATGGCAACATCTGATGAGTCGACGTCACGAGTTTCGAGAGGAAGATTCTGCGGAAGGTTTATGGTCTTTTGCGCAACAGCGAATATGGCATTCGATAGAACAATGAACTGTACGAGTTATACGACGACCTTGACGTACATATGTAGTTCAGCGAATTAAGAGACAGCGGCTACTCCGGCTGAATCATGTCGTCCGAATGAATAAATCCTTCTCTGAAAGTATTCGACGCAGTACTCGCCGAAAGAAGCAGAGGAAGAGGAAGACCTCTACTCCGTTGGAAAGACCAGGTGGAGAAGAAGCTGGAAACACTTGGAACCTCGAACTGGCGCCAAAAGCGCAAAATAAAAACGCCTAGCGCGCAGTGGTTAACTCAACTATAACCGCGTGAGTGTGTATATGCCAATAAAGAAGAAGAGACGAACGTTTCGGCAACTGAAATTTGATTACGCGCATAAAAGTTAATAGAAACTTTTTGTTGTTGTAAGCACTAATGATTACTTTTAAATGACATTTGGCATTGATATTTCAACGAATGAGTTTTCGCGCTAAATTTATATTAAAAAGTCTTACTATTTTTTACTCACAGTAGTACATACATACATACATAAGTATTTATTTGTGTGAGAATAACGGAGTTGCCACAGCATGGTTCCAAATATTTATCTTACTATAAAATTACACAAATTCATTGCATGCTTTTCGGCGGCATGGAATATTACAACTGTTGCAGCGGAAATATGCTCTCACACATACATGTATACTACGACTACAAGCACAAGCAAAGTAAAAACCGTCACTTACAGCATAACAAACCCAATACTTCTTCCTCTTCTATCTTTGACGTTTGCCTATCAAAAAGTGACTGTTAACATTTTTATGAAATTAACAGACTCTTGTTAACTGCAAATACATATGTGCACACAAGCAACAACAGCTGTTGTGAACACATACGTAATATATGTAGGTGCGCAAAAATGCTACAGTTAATCAGCCACACACACTGGTCGGGCTGACTCACAGCTACAAGTATTCTCATATTGTGGGAGGATAGAAATCGATATCAAACAACCAGCTGTAGCTACCAAACAGCTGTCGGAACAGCGGACCACAGGCTTGACCAGCCGTAAGTAATATAACATTGATAAGACACCAACGTTTGTTAACAGCGTAGCAAATACAAAAACAAAAGTCAAATAAATGCAAATATTTTCAAGAAGTTCGTTGCGTTGTTCTCTCTCAGCCACGCAACCGTACTCTCAACACGTACTCTCTGCAATGTTTGCTCATTTAGCACTGGCTTCTTGAGATTAAAAACTGGTTTCACCACCAGCTGTGCGCTCTGCCAGACGCCATGTGCTGTTAGGTGAGCGCCGACTAAGTCAAAGCACACAACGCATGTTTGCATGTGTATTAAGCAGGTAAATATATATGTGGTTGTGTGTGTGGTATTTGCTGTGCGGCGGTGGAATTTGTTGCTTTTGCAGAAAGAAAGTACAAGTGAATATTACCGCTACCTGCAAACTGTAATTGCGTTAACTCTGCGCCTCCTCCCCGACTTGTGTTATCGCTGCGGACGTCTATTTGCTATTTTCAATGTCATAAATCAAATTTTGATCTGTTTATGTGCATTCGGCGCACAGACATATGGTATACAAAGAACGTTACGCTCTCAGAAAAACTCGTGTGTTGCGCTCATTGTTGTCTGGTTAAATGCTTGCGGTCTTGTTTGGGTGATGGCACCGGCAAATAATCGACTTTTTGTAAAAAGAAAAGAGTTATACTGGAATTGATTTGATAAAAGAATATGATATACATATATGTAAATGGGCACACACGCATATTGTTAAATTTCTAATGTTTTTGATATCTTGAAAAATCTTGCTGATGGCTTTTGATTGATAGTAAAGTTTTTGGGTTTTAAAGGTATACATATAACTAGTATATAACTGGTTTATAACAATTAGCCTTAATTCGTCAAAAGCACTCCAAATTTCGTTTTTCAGCTGACTTATTAGCAAATTAATTAAATTTTTGAACAAAATTGGGAAATTAAATTGTTAATTCTTGATAATATTCGTGTTTTAAAGTTTCTGTTTGTTTGTTGTTTTTGACATTGACTTGGGAAACCGGAAAACTTGCTGCTGGAACTGTGCATAATTAGAGATATTAGCAAAATTTTCAATTTCGAAAAGTGTAGACTAATAATCATGTCGTCTTGGAAACCATACAAGTTCATAACTTTTCCTGGAAGCGACGAATCTTTGATCCAAATGGAATAAGGCAATATTGCTTATTTACATAACGGTGAGATTTTTCGTAAAGAATGCGAGTTTTGGAAATACATTTTTACCATTTTTTAACATTTTTTTGTTGTAAATCTTTTCGAAGTATTTTGCCGAAATATGCTAAACATTATTCTTTTAAGAAAAGAGTTCACTTTGTCAGGTTTGGCAATCATTACTCCAAAAAATATACTTCTAAACGAAACCCTATATTTAATAAAAAAAAATACAGAGATCTGTTAAAAGAAGAAGATTTAAAACAGAACAATTTCGAAAAGTGTAGAAGTGTGTAATAAAATAAAAAAATAATACGATCTTAAAAGAACTATATGAACCAAATATTTTGAATTTTAAAAACTGATGTATTGAGTACAAGTTTAATGAAATTAAATTTAAAACTTTTTGTAGGATATAGAATATCGAGGAACTACGAAAAAACAAACTTCTAAAGCAAGAACTAAAAATTTTTATTTTAAAATAATCCTTCATTCCGCATTAATTAATAATCCAATTTTCCACATTACTCACGGAAAATGGTTCCCATAAATATAAAAATGTCATGTTAGGGTTAACAACTCGCTTCTGTTACATATTTGGTAGAGCTGCAGTAACACAAGCATACAAACACTCTCACAGATATACAGACACAAACACACACGTACATCAAAGCAGCCAGCTGAGCATGACGCCAACGACAATGAAAATGTCAGCGGAGCTCAGTATTGCTCAGCGCAGCGCAGTTAACAATCGGAGGTAACAGCGAGTGAATTTCGTGAGTTTCAATGTTAATTCCCATTTTAGTTCGCTTGAGTTCAGTTCAGTTCGACTTTAAACGTTGCCGTAACTTCGCGTCGTTCTCGTGGCTCCAACGCAAAAACGCGACCAAAAAACTTATTAATTCTTAGAAAAGTAAAAAGTAAAAACCTGGGGAGAATAATCACTATAAAATAGGTAAAAATCACTTGAATATTAATGCTGATAAATGTAAAGTGCCGAGAAAGTGTTGAAAAATTTAAGAAGGTGCTCATTTGAAGCAGTCTTACTTTAACTAAAAGTATTGAATTACGAAAATTCACAGACAAAGAAAAAGCAGCAACAAAATTTTAGGAAGGTTCGGGAATATTCAAAATTAATGGCCATTATTTTGCAATTATAAAATTTTGAAATTTAATGAAAACGAAAGTTCTTAACAATTAATAAAAAAAAGGTCCTCACAGATACAAAATGAATTATAGCAAAAACAGCATAATTTAAAAATATATTGCAAATATCAAAATAATAACCAAAAATTCATACAAAATATTAAAAGTATTAGATTTGAAAATAAAAATATTTTTTAACAATTACTTATTAATTGCTGAATAACAATATTGCCAAAAAATTATTTACGACTAAACGCCAGATATATGTCAAGAAAAAAGCTAAAATCAATTAAATTTTAATAAAAACAATTAAAAATTAATAAAATTTTACTAAACTTTATAAAAATGTTGTAACTTAAATGAATTATATTTTAGTTAACTCGAAAAACTAACAAAGAAAATTAATAATACTTTTTTTAAATTTTATTTGATAAAAAAATTCATTTCTTGAGCTAAAATTAGATTCAATTTAAATAAAAGATATGTTTTTTAACTTCTGTAATGTTAAGTACATATAAAACTGTTTTAACTATGCCAGTGGAGCTCACTATCAGTATCTGATATATATATATATAAACTATCAAGTTTTTTTATT